ACGCCGCGCTTAATCACAGGCAGCCGGTGCTGCGGGCGGGTCGCCTTCAGCCGCCTCCCGGCCGGTGGCCCCGGGATTTCTTGCATGGTGGCGCTCTGACATGCCAAAGCTGCCCGGTTATTCAGAGCTGAGTGACTCTTTAGCGCTTGCCGTGGGAACAGGAAGATTCTCGGGACCACTGTAAGTGTTTAAGAGTTACTGTCTTGATCGGGGGCCCCGACGTTGGTTTCCCTTCTGGAACCGAGTGGTCACTCTGGAGCAGTTCTATTAAATCAGAAAGTATTTGAACTGTAAAAGCTAAATGTTCCGTAGGAAACCACCTTGATCCCAACTTCTTAATGGAAGGTGTGCTGGACCTATGTAAGCCATTTATAGTGATTTATGATGTGGGATTCACAAAAAAACAGATTTAATATACACTGAAACTTTTTGTACTTCCTCATAACTATTCCATAAAACAACAGTCTGTAAGTTGTTTACATCTTAATGTAATTTTAGTTTATTTTAAACTGTAAATGCAGCAGTGGGGTATTTTAGAAGTCATTGGAAATAAAGCAAGTGCATTTGGAATAGTTGCTGTGACAGCATTAGTAGACCCTAACTGTATTTTCTATTTTTTAAACTTTGAAGGCACAGAGCATGGAGAATGATGAATTTCCGTCAGCGGATGGGATGGATTGGAGTGGGATTGTATCTGTTAGCAAGTGCAGCAGCATTTTACTATGTTTTTGAAATCAATGAGACTTACAACAGACTGGCCTTGGAACACATTCAGCAGCACCCAGAGGAACCCCTTGAAGGAACCACATGGACACACTCCTTGAAAGCTCGATTACTCTCCCTGCCATTTTGGTTTTGGACAGTTGTTTTTCTGATACCTTACTTACAGATGTTTTTGTTCCTATATTCTTGTACAAGAGCTGACCCCAAAACGGTGGGCTACTGTATTATCCCCATATGCTTGGCAGTTATTTGCAATCGCCACCAGGCATTTGTCAAGGCTTCTAATCAGATCAGCAGACTACAACTGATTGACACATAAACTCAGTCACCATTTTCCCCTTCTGATTATGAAACTGCCAGTACTGTATGGAACCTGATCACAAGACTGCAGTTTTGTTTTTTTTTTTCACAGATCTCAGGAAGTTGTGGTGGGACAGAGGCTTTTTAAAAAATGTGACTAGGGGGCTCTCTCTGAGTAATGAGTTTTTAGGTGAAGCCTGAGATACAGTACTACAAAATCATGTTGATGACTTCAGATTTTGGAAGTAAAATCATGTCTGTTATTTGCATTCTTTAGAAACTTGAATAAGTTCCTAAACTCTTATTTTTATTCTACTGTGCAACATAGTGATGGTTCAGAAATTTTTCCTTTGGGGAAAAAAATGAATATGAACATTTCCATTGTGTTTAATATGTAAAAAGGTCCAAACATGGTCATAAAATTTAAATTTTATACAATTACTTGGCTTGCTTTAAAATTCTTCCAACTAAAAAACCAATTCACCCTTCTCTGAGTAAGCCAACTATTTATGCTCTGTTGATATCAGCTTGTGAAAAATTGGTATAAAATTATTGAGGTGATTGCTGTCCTGATATGCATAATTTGTTCCTCCTTTTGGTAATGCTCTTGGTGTTATTATTAATGCTACTGATTTAAAAAAAAACAACAACTCGGGAAGAGACTAAATGTTTGAAAGTTGAGAAATCTGACTTACTGATAGAATATGGTAACAGGTGTTCAGTGAAAATATTTGGTCCAGTGCCTGTCAGATGTGTGAGAGCTCTCTGAAAGATGCTATCAAGTCATCATCCTGACACTCACCTCTAGCCTAAGGGCAGGTCTTTAGGCGATAGCTGCATGAAGATGTGATCCTTGTATTTCCTCCTGTGCATTTGTAGTTACTACCTCATGTCTGGTACCAATACAAATAACTAAAAAGTGGAAATATTAGATTTTAGGATTATTTTTCTTTTTTTCTGGGTGAGATCAAGATATATTTTTATTCACTTATGTCATTGATACCAGAGAAATGTTTCACACTGCTAGATTTTTATAACACTTTTTGGTGCTTACTCTGTTGAGCCCTGTTCTAGGAACTTTGCATAAATTAACTCACCTAATACAACAACCCTATGAGATTATCTAGATTTTATAGATAAGTACACTGAGGTGGAGCAGTTAAGTAACTTGCCAGAAGTCACACAGCTGGTAGGTGGCACAGCCAGTAAAAACAAGGCATCTGATGCCTTTGTTCCTAACCACAGCTTAGTGCTTCTCACAAATGACAGCTGTTTCAGCGCTGGGTGCTGTCTGTCTCACCATGCTAAAGAATGGAAATGGCATTGAGAGAGGTTTTCCTCAATTTGTATGAGCTACTGAAAATCTTAAAGTTTCTAGCAACCTCAGCATTTACTCTAGGTCTGATTTGACTGGAATGGAAGGCTGCACACTCCACAGCAATCTTTTACGTGAAAGATAAAGCAGGTTTCTTTGCAACTCAAAAGCAGCAAGATCAGATTCTTCTCTAATTAGTCTCATTTCTTTTGTTGTTGTTAATCCTCACCTGAGGATATTTTTTCCATTGATTTTAGAGGAAGTAGAAGAGAGGGTAGGAGGGTAGGAGGGAGGGGGGTATAGAAAGAGAGAGAGGGGAACATCAATGTGAGAGAGACATTGCTTGGTTGCCTCCGCAGGCACCTTGACTGGTGCTGGGGATCAAACTTGTAACCCAGGTATGTGCCCTTGACTAGGAATTGAACTCACGACACTGGTGTGAGGGCCAACACTCTAACCACTGAGCACACCAGCTAGGGCTCATTTCTTTCTTTTACTGCCTCCATAGGTCTAGTTCCTGAAATGGTTTATCTTCTGCTACAGTACATTGAATCTGCAAAGTAAGTGGTAGTTTGAAAAACCTGCGTTCCTGTGAGGGTCAGATTATCCAATCACTCTTTTCTTTTGAATACTTACTAATTACAGACAGTCCCCAACTTAGCATTAACTAAAATCCTTTGACAGGATTTTTCTATTTTAATTTATGATGGTGTGAAAGCAATATGCATTCACTAGGAACTGTATTTTGAATTCTGATCTTTTCCCAGGCAAGCGATATGCAATATGATTCTCGAGGCTGGGCAACAGCAGTGAGATTTTGCCCATCTGTAGGCTGATGTAAGTGTGCTCAGCACGTTTAAGGTAGGCTAGGCTAAGCTCTGAGGTTCAGTGGGTTAGGTGTGTTAATTGCATTTTTGACTTACATTTTCAACTGCAGATGGGTGTGAGAGTAACCATGATAAGTCAAGGAGCAGTGTAGCTTGCATGCTGCAGGCACTGCTTGGAGTGATTTGCATTCATTCCTCACCACAGCCCTGTGAGGCAGAGACGTACTGGTCCTAGTGCCACGCACAGAAGAGGAAAATGAGAGAATTAGTAACCCGCCTGTGGTCACAAAGCATGTAAGTGGAAGAGCCAGGACTTGAACCCGGGATGTCTGGCTTCAGATCTCCAGCTCTATCATTCCACTATACTGCTTCTCAAAAAAGGATAATTTGAGGACAATCCTTGAGCAGTTTCTTGTTTTATTTAATTAGTCTTGAAGCAGTGATAGTTTGGAAATGGTTTAAGAAAATTGTTACTTTTTGCCTTATAATTGTTTGATGTAATGCAAGGTTTGTGAATTTGTCACTTGTAATTCCTTTTTATTGAAGTACCCTTTGCCTTTTCAAATTCTAGTATTTTGAGATTTGGTAAGTAAATGCTCATCTCTGTCTTTCAAGATATTGCCTTGGTAGTAGAAATATTAAAATGATTACAGTAGGAGTAATGCAGTATTTCTAAATGTTTCAGATTGCAGAGTTAATCTTTTGATTTATTTAGGAATTAATTATCCAAGTTGGATTGTTACTATTTTGTATATGACTATTTAAGAGTTCAAAGCACTCTTTTGGTAAAGAGGGAAAGGTGAATTTATCTCCTAGCTCTGTTAGACTGAGGAGGTGGTTAAAATTGATGGGTAGGAGACCTATAATTATAGCAGGTCACCATTTATTTTATATTGTTATCACAGTACAAAACAGCAGTGACTTCCTGGCTGGTTTGCTCAGTGCTTAGAGTGTCAGCCCAAGGACTGAAGGGTAGCGGATTCAATTCTGACTGGGGGCCACATACCTCCTGCAGGTTCCATCCCCCATGTGTGATCTGGCCAGTCGATGTGTCTCTCTCACATCAATGTTTCTCTCTTTCCCTTCCACTCTCTCTGAAAAGCAATGGAAAAAATATCCTCAGGTGAGGATTAAAAGAAAAAAGAAAAAGCAGTGACTACAGGATTAGGTAGTGAGATTAATGTCAAATAAGAGAAGTGCTTCAGGGATTTTAGGGAAGAGACAAGCATCCTAGGATCCATAACGAGTCAATATTTGCTTCCAGATATGAGAAAAATAGAGCTATCCCACAGTGGTAACAAAAAGCTTTTCTTTGGGGAAGTGGAGTCATTAGATAAAGTATGCCCAAGAGAATACCACCTATAAAGTAATCAAACTGGTATATTTTGTTTACCATGGGTATTATTAAAGTTTTAATTAAGATTACCTAGTGTTGATTTCCTTGATGGGCTTAACATTTTCAGTCTCCAAAACACTGGCAGAAAAGCTTGCCACAGTAGGACAACTCATTTTTGCATCAAACATTTGCCGTCACTTTATAAATTCTACAACATATTTTTAAAGTTCCAAGTAATTCTGGACCATGATTGGGAATCATCGTGCATTAGTTATTTTGTTTTGGTCTAAGGCAGTGAGTGGGGTTTTGAACTGTGGCTATGTATTAGAATCACCCAAAGAAAGAAATAAAAATGCCAAACTCATATGAACAATACCAGCATCCCTTCCCAACCAATTATGTCAATTTCTAGGGGCATAGCCCAGGCACTCCTGTTTTTAGAAGGAGGTTTTTAAATGATTCTATCAGGGTTTGCTGCACCATACTCAACTGTTAGTCATGAGATCTGTGTTTATCTTTGGAACAGCTTCAAAAAATATTTTGCAGTAACTTCATCCCAGCTGTTTGAATTGCAAATCTTTAAAAGAGGTGTCTATATTTCCTCCCCCCGCTAAGATTTAAATAAGACTTTATTATTACAAGGGCGAGTCCTACTGAGAAGAGCCTTATAAACTGATAGATGTAGTCCCAGGGTTTCACCATGGAGAAATCAGGTTATGATTGCAGAGGGAGTCACTGCAACTGAAGGTCACGGTCCAGGGGAGCTGAGCCAGGAATGCAGCAGACACCACCAGGACAGGCTGGGGTGGTCAGGTCAAAAGGTGAGGGAGAGGACAGCTTCACTCCTGTTTCTTGAAGCTCTCCAGGTTGACAAGACCCAGCCCCACAGCAGGAGAAAACAGGAAGCAGGAGATGAGCCCAATGGTAACATCCATGGTCCTGAGCTGCTCCTGCAGTGGCTTGGAATGGGTCTGAGCACACAGCACCAGGAGCCCAGGGCTGGGCCTTTCAGGCCCCTCAGCAGTGGACCACACCGAGTAGACTGCAGACAGCTGCCAGCTGGAGCCCAAGTCTGGAAATGAGGTGTCTATATTTTCTGATTCCAACTCCTCCAGTTTATCCTGAATGCTATTTAAAACAAAAAATTATCTTTATTGATTTCCGAGAGAGGAAGAGAGAGGGAGAGAGAGAGAAGCATCAGTGATGAGAGAGTCATTGATCAGCTGCCTCCTGCATGCCCCCCACTGGGGATCGAGCCCGCAACCCGGGCATGTGCCCTGACCGGGAATTGAACCTTCATCTCCTGGGTCAGAGGTTGATGCTCAACTGCTGAGCCACGCCAGCCAGGCCTGAATACAATTTTATCAGGTTTTTGCCCCCCCCCCCACTCTACCAGAACTGCTTTCTTGTCAAGTGGTCGCTGGTAACTTATACAGAACTAAATCCATGGATCAAGTCTCAGTCCTCAAATTACTTATTAGCAGCTTCTGACACATTCCCTCTCTCTAAGGTACTTTCTTCAGTTGGCTTCTGGATCATTACTGCCCAGCAGAACTTGAGCGAAGATGGAGTGTTCTATATCTGTGTTGTCCAAATCAAGAGCCACTTGCCACAGGAAGTGAGCCCTTGAGATGTGACTAATGTGAATGAGGAACTGGACTTAAAGTTCCAATTATAATTTAAATAGCCACAAGTGGCTGGTAGCTGCTATGTATTAGCCCAGTTCCAGATACTTTCCTGGTTTTCCTCTTCCTTACCATCTTCTCCCGTCTCCTTTGCTGGTTCCTCCTTGGGGATCTGTTCAATTTCTGAATGTTGGCATTCCTGTTCCCTTTTCTCTATTTACTCCCTTGATCATCTCATCCAGGCTCATGGCTTTCATGCCCACATTTATGTTACTATCTTGTCTCTCTCTCCTGAGCTCCAGACTTGAATATCCAACTGCCTACTTGGTATTTACTAGATGTCCAAAGCCAAGCTGCTGATCTCTTCTTCACCGACCAAAATCTCCTGAAGTCTCCTACAAGACTGCTACCAAACAACTGGTGAGGGGTCCTTTAAGTCCTCTGGTAGCCCGACTGGTGTGGCTCAGTGG